TCTGGGAAATGTTGAGTGAATGCGTGGGGAGTTTTGAATCAAGTGTGAGAGTAATGGTGGTTGGGGATTTCAATGCTAAAGTGGGTAAAAATGTTATGGAGGGAGTAGTAGGTAAATTTGGGGTGCCAGGGGTAAATGTAAATGGGGAGCCTTTAATTGAGCTATGTGTAGAAAGAAATTTGGTAATAAGTAATACATATTTTATGAAAAGAGGATAAATAAATATACAAGGTATGATGTAGCACGTAATGAAAGTAGTTTGTTAGATTATGTATTGGTGGATAAAAGGTTGATGGGTAGGCTCCAGGATGTACATGTTTATAGAGGGGCAACTGATATATCAGATCATTATTTAGTTGTAGCTACAGTTAGAGTAAGAGGTAGATGGGAAAAGAGGAAGGTGGCAACAACAAGTAAGAGGGAGGTGAAAGTGTATAAACTAAGGGAGGAGGAAGTTCGGGCGAGATATAAGCGACTATTGGCAGAAAGGTGGGCTAGTGCAAAGATGAGTAGTGGGGGGGTTGAAGAGGGTTGGAATAGTTTAAAAAATGCAGTATTAGAATGTGGGGCAGAAGTTTGTGGTTATAGGAGGGTGGGGGCAGGAGGAAAGAGGAGTGATTGGTGGAATGATGAAGTAAAGGATGTGATAAAAGAGAAAAAGGTAGCTTACGAGAGGTTTTTACAAAGCAGAAGTGTTATAAGAAGAGCAGAGTATATGGAGAGTAAAAGAAAGGTAAAGAGAGTGGTGAGAGAGTGCAAAAGGAGAGCAGATGATAGAGTGGGAGAGGCACTGTCAAGAAATTTTAATGAAAATAAGAAAAAATTTTGGAGTGAGTTAAACAAGTTAAGAAAGCCTAGGGAAAGTATGGATTTGTCAGTTAAAAACAGAGTAGGGGAGTTAGTAGATGGGGAGAGGGAGGTATTAGGTAGATGGCGAGAATATTTTGAGGAACTTTTAAATGTTGAGGAAGAAAGGGAGGCGGTAATTTCATGCACTGGCCAGGGAGGTATACCATCTTTTAGGAGTGAAGAAGAGCAGAATGTAAGTGTGGTGGAGGTACGTGAGGCATTACGTAGAATGAAAGGGGGTAAAGCAGCTGGAACTGATGGGATCATGACAGAAATGTTAAAAGCAGGGGGGTTTATAGTGTTGGAGTGGTTGGCACTTTTGTTTAATAAATGTATGAAAGAGGGGAAGGTACCTAGGGATTGGCGGAGAGCATGTGTAGTCCCTTTATATAAAGGGAAAGGGGACAAAAGAGATTGTAAAAATTATAGAGGAATAAGTTTACTGAGTATACCAGGAAAAGTATACGGTAGAGTTATAATTGAAAGAATTAGAGGTAAGACAGAATGTAGAATTGCGGATGAGCAAGGAGGTTTCAGAGTGGGTAGGGGATGTGTAGATCAAGTGTTTACATTGAAGCATATATGTGAACAGTATTTAGATAAAGGTAGGGAAGTTTTTATTGCATTTATGGATTTAGAAAAGGCATATGATAGAGTGGATAGAGGAGCAATGTGGCAGATGTTGCAAGTTTATGGAATAGGTGGTAAGTTACTAAATGCTGTAAAGAGCTTTTATGAGGATAGTGAGGCTCAGGTTAGGGTGTGTAGAAGAGAGGGAGAATACTTCCCGGTAAAAGTAGGTCTTAGACAGGGATGTGTATTGTCACCATGGTTGTTTAATATATTTATAGATGGGGTTGTAAAAGAAGTAAATGCTAGGGTGTTCAGGAGAGGGGTGGGATTAAATTATGGGGAATCAAATTCAAAATGGGAATTGACACAGTTACTTTTTGCTGATGATACTGTGCTTATGGGAGATTCTAAAGAAAAATTGCAAAGGTTAGTGGATGAGTTTGAGAATGTGTGTAAAGGTAGAAAGTTGAAAGTGAACATAGAAAAGAGTAAGGTGATGAGGGTGTCAAATAATTTAGATAAAGAAAAATTGGATATCAAATTGGGGAGGAGGAGTATGGAAGAAGTGAATGTTTTCAGATACTTGGGAGTTGACGTGTCAGCGGATGGATTTATGAAGGATGAGGTTAATCATAGAATTGATGAGGGAAAAAAGGTGAGTGGTGCGTTGAGGTATATGTGGAGTCAAAAAACGTTATCTATGGAGGCAAAGAAGGGAATGTATGAAAGTATAGTAGTATCAACACTCTTATATGGATGTGAAGCTTGGGTGGTAAATGCAGCAGCGAGGAGACGGTTGGAGGCAGTGGAGATGTCCTGTCTAAGGGCAATGTGTGGTGTAAATATTATGCAGAAAATTCGGAGTGTGGAAATTAGGAGAAGTGTGTGGAGTTAATAAAAGCATTAGTCAGAGGGCAGAAGAGGGGTTGTTGAGGTGGTTTGGTCATTTAGAGAGAATGGATCAAAGTAGAATGACATGGAAAGCATATAAATCTATAGGGGAAGGAAAGAGGGGTAGGGGTCGTCCTCGAAAGGGTTGGAAAGAGGGGGTAAAGGAGGTTTTGTGGGCGAGGGGCTTGGACTTCCAGCAAGCGTGCATGAGCGTGTTAGATAGGAGTGAATGGAGACAAATGATACTTGGGACCTGACGATCTGTTGGAGTGTGAGCAGGGTAATATTTAGTGAAGGGATTCAGGGAAAACCGGTTATTTTCATATAGTCGGACTTGAGTCCTGGAAATGGGAAGTACAATGCCTGCACTTTAAAGGAGGGGTTTGGGATATTGGCAGTTTGGAGGGATATGTTGTGTATCTTTATACGTATATGCTTCTAAACTGTTGTATTCTGAGCACCTCTGCAAAAGCAGTGATAATGTGTGAGTGTGGTGAAAGTGTTGAATGATGATGAAAGTATTTTCTTTTTGGGGATTTTCTTTCTTTTTTGGGTCACCCTGCCTCGGTGGGAGACGACCAACTTGTTGAAAAAAAAAAAAAAAAATTAATAAAAAGCACTAAAAGCACTCTAGTAAAGGCATACGAAAAGAATATTTTTCTACAGTTACCCCCCAGTGTTTGACTAGAGAAAACATAATTCTTCCGACACTACCTACACAGCTGCTTTGTAAACAAATCTCATATTTACATCAATTTTTATTCTGTGAGTATATTTATCATGTTTATATGCTATGTAACAGGTTTCATATATAATTTTGAGGAAAATATCATAGATAGATTAATGAAAATGCCTATTATTATTATTATTATTATTATGTAGTATTGGCGTCATGAGTAAAGAGAGACTTAGCAATTTTTATGTGTACCTGCACACCAGCACAGTGTGTAAGTATATTTAGGTACAGGTACACATAAGTACAGTGGACCCCCGGATAACGATCAGCTCCCAACTCGACCAATTATGTAAGTTTATTTTTGTAAGTGCTTTTGTAGGAGTATTTTTAGGGGTCTGAAATGGACTAATCTAATTCACAATATTTCTTATGGGAACAAATTCGGTCTATAACGGCACCCAAACAGACTTCTGGATTGAAATAATATCGTTATGCGGGGGTCCACTGTATAATTATCAGAGTACATATAAAATATGCAGTAACTTTAAAACACTTGAAATTTTGGAAAGTTTCCTGACATAATAGATGTGGTCAAGGAAAATGTAAACAAGCCGGGTGGGGGGGGTGCCGTATTTGAAAGACTGCTTGCTGTATAGCAAATTTTGGTCATAATTTGACATCGCCGTATTAGCGAAATGCCGTAAGGTGAAACGCCATAAAGCGGGGCCTTACTTTATGTCACATCCTCATTCCAGTGTTCTGTATGCAAAGTAAATCTGTGCATAAAGAGTAATAGAAATTGCTTCAGCGACTACCATACCATCAATTAGCAATATAGAATACAGTGGAACCTCAAAAATCGAACTGCTCCCAACACAACCAATTATGTAAGTGTATTTTTGAGGGTCTGAAATGGACTAACCTAATTTACATTATTCCTCATAGGAATAAATTCATTTGGTAAAGGCACTCAAACAGCCTTCTGGACCAAAGAAAGTTCGATATTTGAGGTTCCACTGTAATTGGTCTTCCTCATGAATCTCAGGAATATGGGACTTGAAAGTTTTATCCCTTTGCAATGTGTCCATGTTGCTATTTGTTTCATTTTTATATTTTTCTAATATATACAAACTGTTTTGATACAAGTTCCATTTATGTTTTTGATATTGTCTGTTTGTATAATAAATTTAAAAAATAGTTATTGGGTGTTTTATTAACAATTGCAAGTTTGCAACATTCAGATTTATACTCCCTGTGTCATGAAAGGGCGGAAATTTTCGTGCTTCGGAGATTTGCAATTGCTTGAAAACTAATCATCAGAATTCCATTTATATAGGCTCATTGACCTTATATTGAGTTACTCTATCCAATACAGGGAGTTCAGTTCGAATTTCTAATTTTATGGCCATCTGCCCGATAAAGGGTTAACTATCTTCCTTCATATTCACTTCTGGCTCTAAACTCACTCTTCCTTGTCCTAAACATTGAAATTCCTGCCCCCATTTCATCATCCAAATTAAATGCTAAAAAATTGTCTTTTCACCTCTCTTAATACCTCATCCAACATCTTGCCACTTGTATACTTCACAAATGCATCAATTTGCTTTAAGTTTTCTCAACACTATTTACTCTCCAAAACCATTTCTTATTCACAGAAAAATCAGATGACATTTACTACACTTACACTTTCATTGTTCATTCCTTGCACTATTTTAATTTACTTTTCTTTTAGTTCTAAACTCAGTACCTGATCAGCCGAGCTGTGGTTCTTACATCAGTTAACGTGTGACCAGCAGTAACAGCCTGATTGATCAGACCCTGATCCACCACGATGCCTGGTCTCAGACCGGGCCGCGGGAGTGCTGACCCCCAAAACCCTCTCTGGGTATATCTTTTATTCTACAGTCAACCTTCTTTGTATCATTTTTTTTTATTAATGGTTTCCTTACCTACATCATCCTCAGGTTCTATTTTTCAAAGGACTAATTTACAAACTCATAACAATACTAACCCTAAGAAAATCTCCTTGATTCAGAGTGATGTGATAGATGAGGTAGAGGCGACACAAGCGACGCAACACATTGCGCCCTCCTTCACTCAGTTCTGCATTCTCAATACCAGCTACGTACTTTACACATGTAAAGTATCGAATATGAGCCTGTATGGAAGAAAATATCTCAATTATTTTTAATAATAAAATGGGTTTATTACTGTTGTACAGTACTGTAATATAAGTCTTAAAATATTGGATGTACATGTTCTTGTTAGCAAAAACACTAAAATACAACAAACAAATTATATTTTGAAAAAGCAGTTATAAAATTAGGTGACATTCATTTCATACAATCTGAAAACCCATTTATGCAGAGCATTTCAAGAAGACTAAAACTGGAACTAAAACTACTTGACACTGAATGATTATTTTTTTTTCCTATGAACTGGCTATATCCCACCAAGGCAGTGTGACCTAAAAAGAGAAACGAAAGTCTGCCTTTTTTAAATTTAGTAATGAATACAGAAGAAGGGGTTACTAGCCTCTGCTCCGGCCATTTTAGTCGCCTCTTATGACATGTGAGTTATGGAGGAAGAATTCTTTTCCACTTCCCCATGGAGATAAGAGGAAATAAAGAACAAGACCTAGTATTAAGAAAGTAGAAGAAAACCCAAATGGGTGTGTAAATATATATACATGCAGTATACATGCATGCGTAGTGTGACTTCAGTATAAGTAGAAGTAGCAAGATATACGTACAAGTGGCATTGTAGGGGGGGCACCCCGGGTGACACCATTTAGGGGGTGACACATAGAGCCTCGAAAAAAGGTAACACTAATGCCCAGAACAGTGCTGCAGCAACATAAGAGAAAAATCTTTCATTTCTATATAGAATGTTATATGATTACAGAGTACAAATAGGCCTATATAGGGAAAATCATTGATTTTGATGATGTGATAGATGATTTTGCAGGATTGAAGGCAAGGAAATGTAAAATCAGACTCACTGAGATGTTACCTGTACTCAAGGTCAAAATGGAGCTAGTCTTTTTCTTTATTTTTCAAATTTTTTTTTTTTTCATTGTTGAAGATGAATAAATGTAGGATCCGTTGCCTATACTCAAAATGGTATTTGAGTTTGTTTCCTCAATATTACTACGATTATTTATTTTATCATTAATAAAGTTCTGTATATGGCCTTTAAACATTTTCGTTGCTAAACATTAGTCACTGGGCATGCAGTAGTGATGTAACTGGAGTTTACTCCCCCCTATCCTCCCGCCCTTGGATTTCATGGGGGTGACACCAAAGATGCCACCCCGGGTGACACCAACACTAGCGACACCTCTGAGATATACCTGTTATCCCGTGTGTTTTTGAGACAGGAAGAATGACACCAGCAATCCTACAATCATGTAAAATAATTTTAGGTTTTCATTCCCACTCACTTAGCAGGATGGCAGTACTTCCCTGGGTGGTTCCTGTTTACTAACCTACTACCCAGGATTATGTATGAGTATATACTGTTATTATTAACCTCGGTGGGATACAGCCAGTTCGTTGAAAAAAATAATAATTTGGGATTTTGTTATTCTTGACTGCCCATTCTTTACAGAAATTCACGTGCACTCGCAAACCAAACCATAAATGTAGCAACAATGATGAAGAAGAAATACTACTGAAGTCTATTTATATTCAAGAGTTACACTATGATCATGAGGATCATAAAGTCTAGAAAAGAAATGAGCTTTCAACCGAGACTTAAAAGCATAACCAGAGCCCCGAGTCTTAACACTCGCAACTTATTAACACTTTGAATGCCAGTGTCATATGTACACGTCTTACGAGCCAGTATTTTTTGACGTATTAATACGCCAAAATTCTAGCAATTCCAAATCAAGAGGGAGAAAGCCGGTAGACCCACATGTGAGAAAATGGGTCTGTGTGCACAGTATAAAAAAAATCCTGAAGCATGCGGTGCACGAGAAAAAAAAACTGACTGTGTTTTTGGATTAAAACACCAAATTTGAGGTGTATTTTCATATAGTATTTATGGTTGTATTCTCATTTTCTTGGTCGGATTTGATAGAATGGAAGACATATTACAGAAATAGAGATGATTTTGATTGGTTTCATGATGAAAAGGACCTTGAAATTGGGCTCAAAGTAGCGGAAATATTCAATTTTTGCCGATGTTCAAGAGTGAACAAATGACGTCACCATCCAATAAGTATCCAACTAGCCATTCTAATACGTAGTCACGAATGGGTTGACATTATTTACATAATTATTACAATAATGCAGTAGTCTGCATAACAGTAAATCATCTATTTTTTGTGTGAAGAAAAATTCAAAATAGAAAGTGAGAGTAATATAAGAGAGGCCTGGAGATGTGATTAATGAACAGAGAAAATGTTATTTTAGTGCCATAAATGTCTTCACTGTTCATTCTGGACCCTATTTTGAAATTGGCATCTTTTTTAATTTGAGTGAAATTGGCCAAATTGCCAATTTCTGACCATTTTTTTGGGTAGTTGAAATCGGTAAATGGGCGTTTCTTGTACTCAGTCGATAGAACAAATGGAGTCCTAAAGAAATAGCTATGAGTTTGGTCAATTGAAACAATGGAATTGGCCAAAAATAGGGTTCAAAGTGGGCAAAATCGCCAATGCATATATATCGCAGAGATCACTAACTTTGCGAGAGCGTAATTCCATAAGTTTTCCATCAAATTTCATACTTTTGGCATCATTACCATAGGGAAAAGATTCTCTATCATTTCACAAGAATTAGTTTTTTTTTTCGAATATATGCAACACAGAGAGACACTTCAGGATTTGGGGTCTCAACAGTCATAGGGTTAAACATGCTAGGAGCTACATACGGCTTTTTGTGTGAATGATTTCTCCCTCACAGTACAAGGCTCAATCAATCTAAAAGGGTCTGCGACAATTAGTAGATACTATAAAGGGCTTGTTTGGTAGTTGTAGAGCGGGTAGTTAAATGATATACTTCTTCGGAGGCTTCTTAGTTTATTGTTAAGTAGTGGTGGGTTACACAGGCTTGTGTGTTTGTGCCCATGGCCCGGGCAGGGCCATGCCCACGAGAGAGAGCTGGGAGTACTTGTGTCTTGATGCCAGGCCGCTGTGTGAGTGAGAGCGAGGCAAGTCTGGGCATACTGAAGTGGCAAGGCCTATAGGTGGCAGCACTTGAGTGGCGCGAAATATGAACTAAGCTGGCAGACAGCATGGGCTGTCTGTGCAGACAGTACAGGCTGTCTACATACGCTCGGCCACCTACCGCGCGTCGTCCCGACGCGACAATACTGGTAGTAAAAGAAACTCGGTCTCTCTTTCTCGTAGGAACAGGGCACAGAACACAAAATAAAAACATATATATACATATGGACATGGAAAAAAAAACTTCCTACAGGGAGGGAAGAAAAAAACATGTGGGGTGTGCTAAACATCGTGGTCAAAGGCAGTGAGCATCGAAGTGCATCACTGCACGCCTTCCTGCGTCTGGACAGAAACTGCAACACGGGAGACATCGCTGCGGCTGAGCTGTGACGTAACAGGGTACGGTCTCCTCTGAAACGGTGAAGCAGACATCGTAGGAGTCGCTGCAGGTTTTCACTCAACCTAGGGCACGACATGCTGGTGCCCTCGAGTGAGGCGTCGACAAAACTCGGCAACTGGGCAGGACTTCTGGCAAGCGACTCAGGAGGACACTTCTCGACTGGTACTGTCGCTGGGCTATCACTGCCGGCGAGCGTGGAGCGAGTTGTGGAGCGAGTCGTGGCAGAGACGACTGGGCGAAACATCTGGGAGTCGTAACATCATACACCAGACTGCAGTGAGAGAGCTAGCAGTCAAAGTGACATCTTCTTTGTGCAGGCTGCTCACTGAAGCTTGTGACACGAGGCTGACACAGCGCCTGCCGACAGGGCTGGCTGCGGCTTGACGAGTATCATCTCTCGACAGTTGAGTTATAGCAGAGGTTAGTCTAAGCGTCCCCAGACTTGTTTCTCTAAATATAACTGCACTCTGACGGTCTGGAGGTGAAGTGAAACAAATCTCGATGGGAATCGTAGCAGGTACGATTCTGCAGAACAACACGAGCGACGAGCATAAAAGCTTTCTGTACAAGAGGGCTCGTACGCTCAGGGCTGAGAAATCAGCTGTCAACCACTGGTCAGGCGGGTGACTTAGTGGTACAACTCAAGGGTCTGACCACAGACCTCACTGGACACACGGAAAACTTACAAACACACCGCTGTACATACGGTACAACATGGCTTAACTAGCAAAAGATGCTTTTCTGCGCATAAAACTGACTAAGACATACTAAAATGTGAGAACACTGACTGAGAGGAATTAATTAACACACGACATATATCTTCTCTCAATCTTCTCGACAATACTGAAATAATTACTAGAACACTCGATGTTGACATCATGTGATGTCAGGCGTGATGTCGCAAGGTGATGTCAGCAGCAGTGACGTCAGCAGACATCGTGAGGTGACGTCAGGCAGACATCGTGAGGTGACGTCAGCAGACATCGTGAGGGGACGTCAGCAGACATCGTGAGGTGACGTCAGCAGACATCGTGAGGTGACGTCAGCAGACATCTCGAGGTGCAGACATCGTGAGGTGACGTCAGCAGACATCTCGAGGTACGTCAGCAGACATCTCGAGGTGACGTCAGGCAGACATCGTGACGTCATGAAGTCGGGCAGCATCGTGGGTGGCGTCGATGTGATGCGGGCAGCAGACCACAGCATGAGGCCTTGGGACATCTGGTAACTCACGTGGCTTTGTAGGTCTACGTGACATCGGCCACACCCAACGTGGTGTCGATCCACGTGGTGTCGTGATCTACGTGGGATGCTGATCCACGCAGCTTCGAGTGGCCTCGGGCACTCGGATACACAGCACTGGCAAAGAATTCACACGAAAAACAGCAGAAAACACAGCAGAGGGAGAGATGGCGTGGTGGTGTATGGTAGTGTGGTGGCGAGGAGCGTGGGTGAGTGTACGGCGAGGGAGGATCTGGCAATTCCTCCTCTCAAACCCAAAACACGGCGAAACGCACACTGGACGCAGAAATCACCACAAAACTCACCTCTGGCTCGCTGAAACAGCTGTGCTGAGCTGAACAAC